AGGGGGTCATAATAATCTGGCCACTCAGTGTATATATATTTAAATAAAAGTCAGAAATATGCACATTATATATATATATAGTGCGTGCGTTACCACAAGCGAAATACAATGAAAGTTTGAGAGTCGGCTAGCTGAAAACAATGCACTCCCTGTGTAGCTGTTTTTTCTACAGCTAACAAGGCCTCATTCACATGAGAAAAAGCTGGCCCGTACAGATCAGCGCTGCGTGCACGGCCGTATCGGGCAGCTCCCGGGAAGGACAGGTGTTGTGTGTGATTAGTACACAGCAGCCTGTCCTTCTCTATAGGACTATGTGGCCGTACGCCGCCCTACGCTCACCCCAAGTGCAGGTCTGTATAGGTGCGGGTGTTCCGGCTCGGACGCAGACAGGATCCATCGTAGGAGTACGGACCCATGTGCAGGGCGGGTGAGCGTAGGGCGGCGTACTCCCATAGAGAAGGACGGGGGCTGCGTACTAATCACACGCCTGTCCTTCCCGGGAGCTGCCCGATATAGCTGTGCACGCAGCACGGATCTGTACGGGCCGGCTTTTTCTCGTGTGAATGAGGCCTAATAGAGAGAGATTTTTTTTAAAAAACACAGGAGCGCCCTCTAGTGGCCAATTTACAATAACAGTTTTTTTTCTAATAACAGGGTTACTTTAAAATCTGAAGGGTAGAGAGCTGCATAAACGTTCATAATTTGCCGCCCAACATGGACGGGTGCAGGTCCCTCTCTTCTTACCAGAGCGATCGTTCCTTCGTTGGAGAGGAGGTAACACAAGGCCGTAGCGGTGCGGAGGAGTCTCTCTTGGCTGAGCGTTCCATCCGCGGCTCCCATGGTCCCGTCTGACCTCCGCCGGCTTAGCTCAACATGTAACGCGCAGGCTGCAACATAAAAGGTAGTCTCCCTTTAACCAACTGATCATGGCCGGCCTTATTTTACTGCCGTATTGCCCGGCCCGGAGCCTTACCCACAATGGCCTCAGTGAGGTAGACATGGAGGACGCCGTTGCTGTAGAAGTTCAGCTCGAAGACGGCCGGGATGTTGGTGTTGGGCGCGATGAAGAACTCATTGCCGGGGTCGGTGTGGGTGATGTTCACGGTATTGCCCAACAGGTGGATGGCGTGCATGACCACATCTTCGCAGCTTCCTGAAAACCCCAGATCAAAATCCCGAGCCAGGACCTCCTCCTTCATAGAGAAGAAATCCTCCACCAGAAGGGACAGGCTGACACCCTGAGAGAGAGAGACAATGGCTTACAGGGGGCCCAACATGGCAGGAAAGACAAGTATTTACAGGGGGCCCAACATGGCAGGAAAGACAAGGGTTTACAGGAACCCAACACAAGAGGAAAGACAAGGGTTTACCAAGAGCCAACATGGTAGGAAAGACGATGGTTCACAGGGACCCAACATGACAGGAAAGATAATGGTTTACCGGGACCCAACATGGCAGGATAGACAAGGGTTTACAGGGAGCCAACACGGAAGGAAAGACAAGGGTTTACAGGGAGCCAACACGGAAGGAAAGACAAGGGTTTACAGGGAGCCAACACAAGAGGAAAGACAAAAGTTTACAGGGACCCAACAGAAGAGGAAAGACAAAAGTTTAGAGGGACCCAACATGGAAGGAAAGACAAGGGTTTACCAGGAGTCAACATGGAAGGAAAGACAAGGGTTTACCGGGAGCCAACATGGTAAGAAAGACAAGGGTTTACCGGGAGCCAACATGGTAAGAAAGACAAGGGTTTACCGGGAGCCAACATGGAAGGAAAGACAAGGGTTTACAGGGAGCCAACACAAGAGGAAAGACAAAAGTTTACAGGGACAAAACATGGAAGGAAAGACAAGGGTTTACAGGGAGCCAACATGGAAGGAAAGACAAGGGTTTACTGGGAGCCAACATGGAAGGAAAGACGATGGTTCACAGGGACCCAACATGGAAGGAAAGACGATGGTTCACAGGGACCCAACATGGAAGGAAAGACGATGGTTCACAGGGACCCAACATGGAAGGAAAGACGATGGTTCACAGGGACCCAACATGGTAGGAAAGACAGACAATCACAACTATATTACAACAGTCCTGAGCACAAGGTGCCCGACTCACCTCCCGATAGCGGTATAGGAGAAGGCAGGCCACTATGTGTGTTGACATTACAGCGCAGCACTGATCTGCAGCTAGAGGAGGAAAACAACAAATATTTTTTAAAAATTAACATCAGACAGCAAACAGAACCAACCAACGGACAGCGGACACTATGCGGGAAACGCTACAACCATGCCGTGTCCACAGAGTTTACCTTAGAGTGGAAATCTTCTAGATCTAGATGAAGAGAAGGGTTGGAGCCCCTGCCAGATTTATAGTGCTGGCCATTTCCCTGCTGGGGAGACTCGCTCTCATTTCCCACCTTGGTGACCGTTGTCATCAGCAAAGGAAGTAAATGGGATATGTAAAATGTTACATCTGTCACAGGAACAGGATTACAGGGGAAAGGTCCCATAGGGGACACGTGTTCATGTGATGCCGGAGATATTCATAGTTGATAGCATAAGATAAAAATGTATATTGCCATCTGTGTGTTCCCACTGGGGAGATACACCCTCTGTATGGATATGGGAAGGAATAGAACCTCTATGAACTTTCTCCTGCTCAGAGTTACCATTGGGAAGACTTGCCCTGTGTGATCACCAGGACAGGAATGAAGGGCAAACCTTCCTATGGACAGACAGAAGGAAAAAAGGTCCCAACCCCCTCCATGTTCTATCCTAGGGGTAGGCAACCTTAGCAATGCCACTGTGATGACACTACAAACTCATCATGCCTCTGCCAGTCATGCCTATGGCTGTCCGAGTCTTGCAATGCCTTATGGGACTTGTAGTTACACAACAACTGGAGTACCGAGGTTGCCTATCCTGATCCCTCCGAGCAGAAAAAAGTCTGGAGTTCCATTCTGTATGCAAGGATCATGTAGACCAGGGGTAGCAAACCTCCGGCCCTCCAGCTGTGGTGGACCTACAAATCCCATGAGGCGTTGCAAGATTCTCACAGCCACAGACGTGACTCCTGAAGAGAGATGCATCATGGGATTTGTAGTTTCACCCCCAGCTGGAGGGCCAGAGGTTTGCTACCCCTGCTGTAGACTGAAGAACCAATCATCTCTCAGGTTGCTGTCCTGGAAGATGATTGGGGGGAAAACTGTTTTATTCTGTCTGCAGGATATAGTGATAAAGGGATGCACACGTGACCAGTGCACTATGATGGGGGTCACTATGAAAACTGCGCTAAGTAGCCCAGCTCCCCGATTATACTACACTTACTAAACAGGACATGATTGGCCAGACTGGAGATGATCTGCCTCCTGATTGGTCCGTCCATCTTCAGGTCGGGATTAGAAATTAGAACGTTCTCAGTCACGGCGTCCGTGGCTCTAACAGAGGAGAAAACTGTGTGAAATAATCACTAAAGCTAAATGAAAATCAAACTCCAGGTGGATGTAATAGAAAACAATTTATTGCAGTGATATATATTGTATATACAGGACAAAAAATACAAAAACAGTGTATATATATATATACACACACACACAGTGGTACCTCGGTTCACAAATTTAATTAGTTCGCTGATTCTGGTCATGAACCGAATCAAACTGTGATCAGACCGCGATCTCGACTAGAGGACGCCACGACCATGTGTCAGAGCCGGGAAGATGGCTGCGGTTGTGTTCGTCACCCGAAGCGGAGTTTTTGCCGAACCGAAATGTTCGGGAACAGAAGCGTTCGTGAACCGAGGTACCACTATGTATATATGTATATATAGAGGGAGAGAGAGGAGGGAGGGGGGGAATTTACTTCCTGTCCTCTGCTTCCCCCCTCCTGCTGCTTCCCACTTGCCGGCATTTCCCAACTATTAAAAAGACAGCCGGGAGTTGCTGTGTAAATACATCAGTCGTGATCGGTGTCACAGTGTTTCTAAAGGTTGCTTAGAGTTAAAGAGAGATATATACTGTACATTGTTACTTTGTATCTAATCTGTTTCATTTATCTGAAGATCAAAGCGATGAGCTTCCATCTGAATATGAAGTCAGTTAATTGACGGGAGGGCGCTAGTTTGTGTCCTCCCGTTACCCTAAGGAGAACTATGGGGAAAAGCCTTAACCCCATAGTTCTCCTTTAAGGAACTCTGGGCAGAATTATTCCCAACCCTTGCCGGCTGCCCCGGCATTGTAAGGGTAAGTGCTCATTTTTGTCTAGGGATGAAAATAATTTTTAAAAAGTTATTAAAAAAAAAAGAATATTTATATAAACAGACTCCATAAAATCGTTGTCATGAGTTCTAGCCCTTCTCCACTTGTGGTGTGAATGAGCCCTGAAGGAAAACTTCTCGCTGAGAGAACAATGATGGATATTACTGGGACTGTCCCGCTGATTGTACCTGGATGAGAGGATGGCGGGCAGCAGCGCTTGGTCTAAGCGGAGAGGTGCGGGCGATGGCTTCTGCCTCTGGTTCTCCAGATATTCCTGAAATCATACGGAAAATATTGCATCAAATAAACAGGATCAGTGGTGGGAAAAACGCCTGACACTCAATGAAGGTCACTTACCTTCAGAGAGAAGGGCTGAGCGAAGTCCACTCGGACGCAGCCGTAGTTTTTGCGCAGCATCCTAAACACTCCCCTGGCCACGCTCCATAGACTCTCGTCTGTCTTCGGCTTTCCCTGAAACAGTGACAAGTACATGATATAAAGCTGAACCTCGTCCTTCCCTCCAGTCTTCTATCTGACCTCCGGCCTTCCCTTCAGTCTTCTATCTGACCTCCATCCTTCCCTTCAGTCTTCTATCTGACCTCCCTCCTTCCCTTCAGTCTTCTATCTGACCTCCGTCCTTCCCTTCAGTCTTCTATCTGACCTCCGTCCTCCCCTTCAGTCTTCTATCTGACCTCCGTCCTTCCCTTCAGTCTTCTATCTGACCTCCGGCCTTCCCTTCAGTCTTGCACAGCTGTACCAACTCCTCTCCTGGACTGAAATGGCTTCCTCTGATTTAACTGCACACCGAGAGCTTCTCACAATGTGCATTAGGAGCTGCAGCAAGTTAACGTAACATTACTCCTATTTTGCCAACCTAATTTTTTTTCTCGTCTCTGCCCCCTCCTGTAATAAAGACCGCTCACTGCTGCTCTCTGTCCTTGTGCGGGGTGACTGGTCTCGTCTCCGCCCCCTCCTGTAATAAAGACCGGTCACTGCTGCTCTCTGTCCTTGTGCGGGGTGACTGGTCTTGTCTCCGCCCCCTCCTGCAATAAATACCGCTCACTGCTGCTCTCTCTCCTGATAATTAAGCTTGCCATTTACAGAGTTCAATAGCTCATGATGAAATTGGCCCATCCTCCCTTCCTCTCAGAGTGCATCACAGTTTGTTATGCATGGGGCTGTGTAGCCACAGACTGGTCAGGGTGCCCCTGCTGCATGGTCACTGGTCTTGTCTCCACCCCCCACTGTAGTTTTATGTAGTGGGTGGGGCCTGCCGGGCCCATCCCACAGCTCTGCTCTCTGCACAGGCTATGCATTGAAAGGGTCAGAGAAAAGCAGCCAATCAAAAAAAAATAAGGTAGGGAAAGCAAAATATAGCCTTAAAAAAAAAAAAAAACTCTGCATGGTAAGATTACAGGTTTGAAAACATGAAAAACAATTTACGATGAGCACCAAAAAAACTTCAAACTCACCAGCTGCTCCCCATTATAATGACCCTCAATGATACGGTCATAAGATATCCCCACGGGGATGACGAGGACATCGGGCACAGAGCTGTCGCAGAGCGTGTCCACGATGACGGAGAGGAGGCCGGCCCTTCCGCACGAGGTCTTGCCGCTACGGGAGCGCGTTCCTTCCAGGAAGATCTCCAGGAACTGGTGCTTGCAAAGGAGCTGCTGGATGTACTGCAAGACACGGCCAATAAGAAGGCGGAGAATGTTACTGACAAAACATTCCAAAAAACATTCAACTACATGGCCAATAAGAAAGTAGACAATGTATTCGCTAACATTCCAAAAACACTTAAAAAAGGAGAACTATGGGGTCAGTGTTTTTCCTCATAGTTCTCCTTAGGGTAACGGGAGGACACAAACCAGCGGCAGACGGTCCAAAAAACAAGCGGGGGACCGAAAAAACGGAGCACATATAGACGATCGGCAGGCTATAGAGCCGCTGATCGTCTATATGTGAAACACCCGGTAACGGGTCTTTGCATTGCACGGGTCTTTGCTGCCCGTGCGTGCCCGCTAGGGGGGCGCACGGCGAGCAGGAAAAAAATGCCGCCCGGAGACGGCAACCCGCCAATGCAGCAGTGCCGTCCGTTTTTTTTACAACAGGCGGACAGCAACTGGTTAAATACAAGGCACAGCCAGGAAGCGTTATTCGCAAAAACATTCAACTTCAGGTCATGGCCAATAAGAAGGGGAACGTTTTTCACAAAGGTTTCCAAAAACATTCCACCACAAGACACGGACAATAGGAAGGGGAGCGTTATTCTCCAACATCCAAAAAGGATTTAAATACAAGGCACAGCCAGTAAGGCCCCGTTCACACGGAGCGGTTTATCGCGCGAGGAAGGCGCGGCGGAGGAAGGCGCGGAGGAGGAAGGCGCGGAGGAGGAAGGCGCGGAGGAGGAAGGTGTGATAAAATACTTACCCCGTGTAACAAGGATCTGTACAGAACGTCTTTTTTGCCATCTGAAGTCTCATCAAGTTTACGCCGTATGAAGAACCCGCCCAGCAAGCGAATCAGAGTGCTGTCCAATGAGAAAACAGCAATTTAGATCGTGGTTTACAAGACCATAAAATATACAGCAAAATAAATATGTTTATATTAATATTTATTATGTTTTATTTTATTTTTTACATCAATGCCTAAAGACAGTCAGTCACCTTGCCTCCTCTGGTCACCTTGCCCCATCTGGACTCCCCCACCCCCCAGGATCTCATCTGGCCAGCACTCCTCCCTCTATTACTGCTAATGACAATACCGCATGCTTCCAGTTGGTGGGGAGCATGTGACCTCCTGTTACACTCCACGACCCCGGCCACACTGAGGACTAGGGGGGGTCAGTGGAAGTGTATTTTCTGAAACCTGTTCTGCGTAGCGTCCAGTCTTCTCTTTCTGCACGACCAAACACATTTAGACCCCCGTAGCCGATATGAATCTGATTGGTCACTGAATTATTTTAATTTTGTGCACGAACGGCAGTGTCCCAGTGTCCCAGGATACTGAGCAGGCGTGTTCCGGGATCACCAGATTGTAGACCTAGAGCAGCGAGAATGAACGTCAGCCCAATGCAAGAGCGCATGCTCGCAGGATTTCAAGTCCCCAGCTCTGCTGCAAGGCATGGTATCATCACAATAAGCTGGGGGAACCCAAGTATTTTAGTGGGGGGTGGACACCTTTTGTATAGGTGAGGCTGTAAAAAAAAAAAATGGGACCTTCCATTTGCCATAGAACATCCATTTTAAAAGAGGAACTCCATTTTTTTTCCCTTTCCTGGCTTTATCTTTTCTTTTCTTTCTTTCAGCAGAAGTTAAAAACAAAAACAACAGCCCAGCTCTATTATAATGATTTATCTGTATTTACTGGTACAAAATTGAGAGTTTTTCGTTTGTTTTTTTTTATTTCAACTATATAAAACAATTTTGTCAACTTTTTTTTTGTTTTATTATAACTAGGGATGCAGCGATATATGGGCCGCCGAAACATATGGGCCGAAAATGGCACGTTTGGCTAAATGCAGAAAGAGCCATTTTCCTGCCGATACATCGGCGCATTCGTTCTTTCTTTCCTCCCCGCTTGGCGCTGCTCTGTGTCTCAGCGGGGAGGAGAGAAATCGTTACAGCCGGCCGAGCGCTGCGAGCAGCCGGCGTCTCTCCTCCCACACCGCTCAGCCTCCTATCACATCCTGGCAGAGTGGTGTGGGGGCGGAGACAGTGCTGTACCAGGAGGCTGAGCTCACCTCCAGCACTGCTCGCTCAGCCTCCTGTGACAGCGTGTCAGAGAGGAGAGCGGGTACAAGCAGTCAGTGATCGCCAAGTGTTTGTAGATAATTGAGGACAGAGTATGGTTACTATATCCTAAATTATGAATGAACGGGAAGTGACCTACATCACATCTACATCACTTCCTGTTCATTCATGATTGTGGTTATAGTAAACACACGCTGTCCTCATGTTATGAATGATCAGGAACACTCAGTATAGAGGATTCCTGTTCATTTATAACGGGGGACACAGAAAAAGAGATTGGGGACTCCCTGCGTCTCTGAGGACTCCCTGCGTCTCTGAGGACTCCCTGCGTCTCAATCTCTTTTTCTATTTTAAAAGGCAAATGTCAGCGATCTGTTTAGACTCCCAATATTTCCCCGAAGCCCCTAAAAGTAAAGTAAAAAAAAAAATATTTAATAAAAAAATGAATAATTAAATATAAAAAAAGAAAAAAGTTT